ATGTACTAAATAAAGCTAAAGTTTCAAGTTCAGATTCAAGAGTTCAATAAAGTCTATCATGTAAAGTAACGGCACCCAAATTATATAGAGACGTGGGGAGTTACAGAGGGGTTGTACCTCAAATAAGAACACATTAAAAATCATTTTGGACTTCTCTTATCATCTAATCATCATGTGTCATTTGATTTCAAGGAAACAACACTTGATCTTTATTTTTACTGGATTTATCTCTAAAATTAATATCTATGCGTGTTCATCTTAATGATGGGATGTAAGTACAAGTTGAACACATGTTGAGGCATTGAGCATAAAATAGTAAATACTAATAGCAAAAAGTGAGTTGTTCGAAATAATTTTTACGCAAAAGATATCCATATAAGATAATTCTCCCTCCATCTAAAAAATATACCGTACTTCCTATTTGGGATGTTCTCAAAGAAATGCAACATTTCCCTTTTTGATAGATTTCCTTGTATATTTACTTATTTGCCCATCACAAGCATTGCAACATATTGGTGAGATTGATGGTCTCCCACAAGTTCTTTCAATTTTGTGCTGCTAAAGGGTATTTTAGGTGTTTGATCCTTGGTCAAAGACTTCTACTAAACTATGTGTCAAATCAACATTGCATTTTTGGGGACAGCGGCAGTAACAAAAGATATACATGAAAGCACCTTTTTAGTAGCTTTAGTACTGACTCAGGTGGTACTGGTGCTAGAAGTAATTGGAATAAAGAAATTTCACAAAGAGGACACCATTTTGGATAAAGAAAGAAGACTTTTCTGTGCACCAAAATGGTAAACAGGGTAGTTACTCAGGCAGATGCACATGTATAGCCTATAAGAGGGATCTTCAGAAAAAAGAAAAATACAGCAAAACTGCTAACAATGCCACACATTTAAAGGTCATAAACAGTGCTTAAAATAATAAAATTACAGGGGAAAATGCCCAAAGTAGATGGAATCATGGAAGGACTTGGATCCTGAAGTGCAGCAAGAGTATCTTTTTGCCATTCGATAGAAACTTCCATCTGTGCCTTAAAAAAGCATCTATGCAGTTGAGTTACCTTCTAGCGCTTAATTGCTTAAGCAGGGATTAAATGATCGCTTAAGCAGAGACATAAACAATTCGACGAAATATATAAACATAATTATCGTATGATTACATAAACATTTGAGAGCTAAAGCTTTCATTCGATACTATTCCCATACAGATATTTTCTAAATGGCCAGTTCTTTTTGCTCCATGGATACACTTACTGGTTAAGTATTGAAGAAGAACCCCTTCCCTTTGAGACAAATTGATTAACCCCCATTAGATTTTTTATGAAAGCTTAAATTTCAACCAAGTAATTTTCTGAACCCTGTTAGGCTTCCCGATTACCATGCCCCTCAGGACAGCCTGCAATCACTCAACTCCTAGCATAAGCAAGTAACTTTGAACCCCATTAGGCTTCCCGATTCCCACGCCACTAAGCTCAACTATATTGATCAATCAGAACACTTTTGTCGAGGAAAAATTAAAAGGAAATTTTATGTATCAACCCCAACACACCATCGTCGAAATCAAAGGTTACCTGAAGAGAGCACCAAGCTAGGTTGAGGATAGCAGAGAACCAAAGAAGAACATAATAAGCAATCATAACATGAGAACGACGATGACTGAGCTTCTTGATGTTCTTTTTGAGATGAAACCCTAAGTACAATACAAACAATGCAGCCGGGATCGATAGAGCGGCGGTGTACAACAGTCCATGGCAATTGCTTTGATTGTAATACGAATACGACGGTGGTGATGATGATTCATCATGGTAGTGGATGTCGGTTATGGCAGGAACGCTTGGAATTGGAGTAAGGATATGATCTAGATTATCCCCCATATTTTCGTTAGAAAAAGGGGAATTTGGTTATTGGATGCATGGATCAAATTGAAACATCAAATTATGTGTAGTCAATGTGAATCGATAGAAGAAATCAGAAACCCTAATTTGGGAGGATCGAGAAGAGGGAGCTGTGGTTTTGGGGAACGGAGGACCTTCGGAATTGTACAACGAGAAAGGATCGACAGCTGAAACAGATCCCAACGGCGTCGTTTTCAGGGTGAGTTACTAATTGAATAATCAACTTAATTTTAATCTATTATTCTCGCAACCGATCACGTAAATCATATCATTATTTTGTTTCTCAAAATAAATATTCATTTTGTAAAACTATAAGGTTACTTGCACAATGCAGCGACATAAATTTTAATTTTAGTATTTTATTTTATTTTATTTTTTATCTCAATCGATGTTATAATATAGTTTTATGTGATTTTGAAAAAGCGACGATGTTTTTATTTCTGAATAAAATATAAATTTGAATATATCATAAAAATTTGACAAAATTATATCGATATAAGTATCAAATTAACTATTTAAAATTTCTCATTTTTTGTTTTTTAATTCAAATTTTTTAATTATAATTTAATTTATGTTCAATAATGAAGTAATTTATATTTGGTTTAGTAATATAATTTTCTTATAAATATAATAGTAAATTATTATGTTAAAACTCGATAATTATCCTAATTATATTTTAGATTTTTTATATTTAAAATGAGATGTTTATCCTTTATTTAATTACGTTTATCCGCAGTTAATTACACGAATTCAAACATGGAGCTTTAATAAGTTATATTTATGCATAATTTACTTGTAATTTTGAATTTTAAGTAATATGCATCAATATACAGTACTTCATGCATAAAAAATAGTTTTTAAGATTTTTTGTCAAATGTTTTATGATATATTATAGATAAATAATCAAATTTATCCTTGCACAAATATTTAAGGGGGAATTTGGTTCACAAAATATTTTATGAAGGAATGCAATATGTTAAAGAAATTGAAATTTGTGATGAATTAGAATGAAAAGTTATCAGGTTTGACCAGATGTTTGGTTGACAAGAAATGGAATGTAATCCATCAAATGAATTGGAATATGTCTGTTCTGTTTGTTTTAGAAGGGAATTGGAATGAAATAATAAAAATTGACAAAAATACTCTCTTCTTTGATATAATTTTTTAAGTATAAATAATAATAAAATTAATATTTAATCTCAAAAAAATATAAATTACCATTGTTTCTATGAATTTGTTTTTAATTTTGGTAATTAAATTTAATAAAAAATTAGAATTGTTTGAACCAATTACCAATCTGATGTGGTTCCATTAATGGTTTTATCAAGAGAAAACAGAGAAAAACAAATCCAAAAGCAGACCCAAAATCGAGAGAGAGAGAGAGAGAGAGAGAGAGAGAGAAACATTAATTGCAGATCGACTTGGTTTCATCATCGACAAACATAAATAGATCGAAGAAGAAGAAGAAGTAGTTTCATCCTCGACAGATGCAAATAGACGCAAACGTTAGTTGCAGATCGATGTGGTTTTAGTCAAAGTAGTTTCAATCAATGTGTTTTCAAACAGATGTGGTTTTCAATCGAATAAGAAGAGAGAAACCAAATGATTGAGGAGTCAGGTCAATGAGTTTATGTTTCAATTTGATGTAGTTTTATTCTGAAAGAACGTGTTGTTTGAGTTTTTATGTTAATGAGGGTATTTTTGTCATTATTAAAATGTTCGGTGAAATGGGTTTCAATTCCATCACTTTTGTGAAATAATGGTGAAATCCACATTTGAGGGAATATTCGGAATTCAATTTCATTCCATGAGTAACCAAACGTCAATTTGGTCGATGGAATTGACTATTCCAATTCCATTGGATTCCAACGAATCAATGCCCCCTTAATGCTTAATCATTAAGAACTTATTTTTATAAGCATCATTTGGCTAACAAAAAAAGTGTAATAATTATGTATACCTAAAAGTATGTGTCATTTCAATTGTGGACACTTATTTTGGGACATGAAAGTATACATTTAGGGGGTCAATCATTTTAAGAACTTATTGTAATAATCGTGAAAACTTTCATCTTTGAGTATTGTTTTACATGATTTTTTTTATCTAGACCTAATATTTAATATACTGATGAACATATATCTGTTTCACAATGTGTTTACTTCATATGTTTACAATTCACAATGTGAAACTTTTTTACGTATAACTTTTGTTTCACAAACAGACTAAAAATATTCACATTATGAAATATATACATGTGAAACAAACACATTGTGAAACAAATATATATTAATCGAAATTATAAATATAGATCATATGCAATAACACATGATGCACTAGTTCTCAAGATTATCACAGTTTCATGGGTTTTCAAAGAAAATCCGCCTACATGCCTATATAAATTAAAATAAAGTCAGATTGTACATTGAAAATCTAAAAAGGAACTCTTGATGTCGATACGTATGAGATGATATGTACGTGTGCTATTAGTAATCACAGGTGTGAATTTACAGCATCCACAGTGTCGGTTTTTTAATCCAATGTTTTCACAGCTTTTTCATTCTACGTCATCGTCTACTTTGATAACAATTGAAAAAGTAAAAGAAAAAGGTACTCTTTCAGATATAAAGTATGTAAATAGTCCTTCAAATGGTTGATGCCGATTTTGCCTAAGAAACAATCACTCATGATTCATTTCAGAATTGGTGAGTTGCAACAAAACGACAATGATGACTTTTTATAACCATCGATACATTAAAATGTTATTGTCCAGCTTTAACACGTGTCTTTATCTGATTTATTGATCAGTGCATGCTATTATTTCTCATTTCAGCCTTTGAAGTTGATATAGACATTTGTTAACTCAACTCATCATTCTATACGCAGAGAGAACAATAAATGAAGTATGATACTGATAAAATAGTACTTTAAACTTACTTTGTCTGACATGTCAAACATGTTCTCATACTAAGATGAGAGTTGGTAGCGTTGATGAGCCGAACTTGTTGGATAAGTTTGTACTCCAAATTCGGTTTGCCAAAAATAGTATTTGTCATGCTACTTTTGACTTTATCTTGTATTGATCTTCCTTTGGCTAGATGACATTCCAATCCGCTTTGATGACCACCTTGGCGTCACTTCAACTAGTATTCAGTTTCATTGAAGGCTTTTTGTTTTTGGATCAACACATATAGTTATAAACTTTTACATAAGAAAAATCTTATCTATCTTTTTTAAAACGTAAGCTATATATCAGATTTCAGCAAGACTATTTATGAGGTATACAGATTGGATGATACAAGAGACTTAGAGTATTTTTGGGCTTTTGGAAATCGAGACTGAATGAACATGTGAAAGGTTCTATTCGGATTCTTAAAAAAATTAAATACATAAAAATAGGATTTTAAATAATATATAAAAATAAGTTTAGAATTATTTTATTATTTTAATTTAAACATATCAACAAATATAATAAGCTTAATTATGTATTTATTTGTTGATTATATTTAAATATAATTACTTTAACTATATATGTAAATAACGTTACTTATATTTAAATATTTAGTCTAATTGCATCTATAAATTAAATTGAATAAGAGGTCGTTTACAAAACGCTTATCAAAATAAGCGCTTATCAAGTCACATTACCTTATCGAATCAACATTGCAAGGACCAATAATCTTACCCAGTAAGAGCTAAGGCAAAGTGAAAGACCTTCCAGCCTAGTGGTAAAGGCTTGGGCATGGCATAGTCATGAACCCGAGTTCGAGCCCTGGGAGGGGAGTGTTGGCGACATTTAAGTGGGGCCATGTTTAGCCTCCAAATTTGCCGGGGATTAGTCGGGCTTTGGCCCGGACACCCTTACAAAAAAAAAAAAAGAGCTAAGGCAAAAACTGAGAGTCTTACCCGGTAAGTGACAGCGACGACTCTTACCACTGTTAGCACTTATCGGGTTTAATTGTTGCATACGATACCGTTTTGGTGGACTAATATCTTACCCGGTAAATAATTGATAGTTTTGAATTTTGCCGGTAAGCACTTACCCAGGTAAGTATTGGTAAACGGCCCCAAAATATGAAACTTTTATGAAATTATATAAAATTAGAACTGATCAAACACGAAAAACCTCTAAAAAAATCGTACAGTTACGACCTTTAAAAAAACCTCATAAAAAATCTATGGTTATGTTGAAAAACCTCTCAGAACCATATATCCAAAAAGCACATTATGAATGCTCTTAACCATATCATTATTTTACACTGGTAAAACAATGATGTGCAAATAAATGACTGTTAGGAAAAGAATTTAGGGACAACAGATATTTATCCCTAAGAGTCCTATCAAACGAAAAGAGCTGAAACGTGTGAAGTTTTCATATCAAGTTAGGTTTAGAGTCGGTCGTATGTGGAGACCTTTTGGAAGGTGGTTCAGACGTTGTTTTTTTTCAAACTATTTATTAAGACCGGAAAACGTATATCAAATATCTATCAAGATAACTAGAGATTTCATCCAATTTGTTATAACCAATTAACGAGTGAAAACACAGTGTCAAAGTGAACATATAAAATAACATGTTAAAACACAGTGTCAAAGTGAACAGATCTGCTCTTTTAAATTAAAAAATAACTTTTTTTTAATATGAGGATAAATCAAAATTATCACTTTTCCAGTGACAATAAAGAGAACATAATAGGTATTAGGGGCTACTTGACAGTTGCTGAATGGTTTGGTGCACAATAATTAAGTGGACAAAATGATTAAGAGATAGTGCAAAATGAAATATAATTGTTTGATAATTGTCGACGATGAAATTAAGGCGCTGAATGGTTAAAGAAGATCCATGATACAAAATCATTTAGATGGTTTTATAATCATTAAAAGATATAATTTTTTTTGTAAAACAAGATTCACCTCTGAATGATTCAGATGTTGCATCTTAATGAAACTATTAAAAGGTAAATAAACAACCCCTTAGTACTTAGTAGTTCCATTAATAGGTAGTATCTGAATTGCAAAGAGGTAAATTTTATTTGACCAAAAAAATTCTACCTCTTAATGATTCTAATTTCTAAACACCTCTTAGCGATTTTGTATCCTGACCCTCCTAAACCGTGCATCGTACAATTTTTTTTCCAAGATTGCCCTCTTCTCTCTCACGCCTCTCTCCTTCAGGATCTCCGCT